TTGGTTGTGTTTGTGTGTGTGTGTGTGTGTGTGTGTGTGGCGTGGGTGGGGGTTTATGTGTGTGTGTGTGTGTGTGTGTGTGTCGTGGATGGGGGTTTATTTCATTGTGTATGTGTGTCCGTGGATGTGGATGCACATGAGGGAGCTTGTGGAGGTGAAGAGGGCGCTGGATCCCCTGGATCTGGAGTTACGCTTGACAAGGAATGGTGAACACTGAACTCAGGCTTTACGTAAGTGCAGCAGGCATTCTTTTTTTTTTTTTTTCCTCAAGACAGGGTTCCTCTGTGTAGCTTTGGGGCCTGTCCTGGCACTCACTCTGTAGACCAGGCTGGCCTCAAACTCACAGAGATCCACCTGCCTCTGCCTCCCGAGTGCTGGGATTAAGGGCGTGCACCACCAACACCTGGCGAAAGCTGATCTTGTTGGGGAGCCAGAGACATGGCTCAGCTGTAGAGTACTCACCTGGTAGGCATAAGGTCCTGGGTTCCATTGCCAAAATTTTAAAGAAAAGAATAAGAGGAACTGGAGAGATGGCTCAGTGGTTAAGGCACTGGCTGCTCTTCCAGAGGACCCTTGTTTGTTTGATTCCCAGCACCCACGTGGCAGCTCACAATTGTCTGTAACTCCAGTTCCAGAGGTGTCAATGCCCTCTTCTGGCCTCTCCAGGCACCAGGCACGCTACGCATCCTGCTCACACGTCCCTAGACCACTTCCTCACCCCACCTAGGACCGAGGCCACCCACCTTCTCCCCCCATGTCCTGTAATGTCTCTGAGCCTCTGCCCTCCCCAGCCCCAGAAGACATCCAGCTGGCCTCTCACTTACTGACTCGGTAGCCTAGGCCTTCTGCATGAATCCTCTTGGCCATGAACTGTCCTTCAATCAGGGCTCGAATCTCAACATCCCCAGGGAATGCTGAGACCTGTTTACAGAGAGTAGGCACAGTGTGAGGAATTCTGCCTCTCTCTCTCTCTCTCTCTCTCTCTCTCTCTCTCTCTCTGTCTCTCTCTCTCCCTCTATGGAAAGTCAGGGATGAAAGTCTGAGAGAGAGAGAGAGAGAGAGAGAGAGAGAGAGAGAGAGAGTGCACGTGTGTGCATGTGCGAGAGAAAGTGAGAGAGTGTGCTCGGGCATGTGTAAGTGATCTTACTTTAACCACCAATTTCACCTGCCACACCTTCACACGGACACCACTCTCACAAGCACAGCTCACATGTCACCTGTGTGCCACTCCAGGGAGTCAGCAACGTCACAGTGATCAGTCTCACGCAGCCAAGGTTTCAAGCACCGACTCCAACATTTCCCCTCTGACCTAGAATGTCATGCGGATCTTCCTGTTTTGTCCTCTTTCCTAACCTAAGGCTGCACTGGTGGTACCTGGTTTTTAAGGTCACATGGCCAAATTAGATTGACAGGGATTAGGATACAGAGTTGATGTGTGATAGCATTAACCCTGAATTTATCCTGAGCACCCACAGTGACGGCTGTCAAGCATCAAGACAGCTCTAACAGGTGCCACCCCAGGCTGAGGCCTGCTTCTGAGACCCTCCAATCAAGAAGTAAACCTGCCATTGTCTCTCACTGCTCATGCAGAGGAGACCCAGGTTTGGGTTCCAGTACCCACATGGTAGCTCACAACCGTCTGTCATTCCAGTTCCAGGGGATCCAGTGTCCTCTTTTGGCCGCTGAGGTCACCAGGCACACACAAGATGGGCATACACCCATGAAAACAAACACAAGCAAATCTGGGGGAAAAAAACATATCTACTGAGTGAGTGAGTGAGTGAGTGAGTGAGTGAGTGAGTGAGTGAGTGAATGAATGAATGAACCTACTTTCTCTTTGATAAGCTTAAGACTGACCTACCCGAGAGCAGGCAGTGTCTTTTCTCTGTAAACAGAGACTGAACTTAACCTCCAACCTAAGGACCAGGGTGGACTGTCTACATGCTTGTTTGTTTGTTTGAGACAGGGTCTCTCTACACAGCCCTGGCTGTCCTGGAACTCCGTAGACCAGGCTGGCCTCAAACTCCGAGATCTGTGTGACTCAGCCTCCTAAGTGCTGGGATCAAAGGCATGCACCACCATTCCCAGAAAACTTTCTACATTGTATCAAAAAAAAAAAAAAAAAAACTTACGGAGAGTGTAACAATTTGCAACACCTAACCCATGTCACCTGGCTATGACAGGGGCTAGAGTATCTCACCAAGGCTCCCCAACATCTACTGGGTTCACAAGCATTCTCCAGCTCCAACCCCCAAAACATGGTTGTCAACTCATGGTAACTACCAGAAAATCCATTCCAAACAGGGACTCTTCTGGACGGGGCCCCATGGAAATAAAAGGAAAGTGGGCTTGAGCTTCCTCCACCACCTTGTGGCCACTGAGGCCTCAGCTTCCCCAACTGTAAAAAGGGTTCGTCATGCCTAACAGAGTTGCTTAAAGAAAGAAGATTATTAAAATCACAAGCCCGATTATGCCTAGGCACGCTACCCAATTACGCTCGGCGAGTGTCACTGTCTCTCCTACAGGCTCTTCCCACTAGAAAGAAATTCCTGACCTCAGGGCCCAAGGGCTTCTGGGAGGCAGAAGGTACAGCCACCAAGGAAATGTCCAGTGACACCAATGGGAGCAGACAGTAGTTCACAGAGCACTCCAGTCCCCTGTACTCGGAGGAGGAGGGACAGGGTCTGTCAGCCCTGCAGAGATGCAGCCTCTAGAATACACCCAAGCACATCTGTAGATGAGCCGGTGAATGAATCCCGACAAGCAGCATGATCTGATAGCCAGCTGTTCAACAGAGCACCCAAGCACCCGACACCAGAGTCGATGGAAACACACAGTATATGTATGTGTCTGGGGCCGGGGAGACAGCTCGGCCCCAGAGTACTTGCTGTGTGAGCAAGAGGACCTGAGTTTGGAGCCTTAGAACCCACAGAAATGCTGGGTGGGTGTGGTGGCTTGCCTGTAGTTCCAGCCTAGCCAAACCCTGAATGAACTCTGGGTTTGATGGAGAGAACCTGTCTTAATGGATCAGGTGGAAGAGCGACTCAGGAAAATTCCCGGTGTCAGTCCTGGGCTGCCACACGCAAGCACACTGGCAACACACATGCAAACATGCACACACACCGCACACACCGCACACACACACCACACACATGCACCACACATCACACACACCGCACACACACATAAACACACACACACACCACACACACACGCACCACACATCACACACACCACACACACACATAAACACACACACACACACCACACACCACACACACGCACCACACACACCACACACACACATAAACACACACACACACACCACACACACCACACACACTCACACACACATAAACACACACACACACACACTCACACACACACACCACACATCACACACACCACACACACACACACACCACACACACTCACACACACACACCACACACACACACACCACACACACCACACACACTCACACACACACACCACACACACACACACCACACACACCACACACACTCACACACACACACCACACACACACACACCACACACACCACACACACTCACACACACATAAACACACACACACACACACTCACACACACACACCACACATCACACACACCACACACACACACACACCACACACACACACCACACACACACACACACACACACACACACACACGAAAGAAAAAAAAAAGACCCAAGTACCTCAATGTTTTCTGCATTAAACCTATGACGCCCAATAATTTCAGGGGTGATCTCCATTACATCGAAATAAAAACCTGAAGCAAAACCAGGAAGAGATTAGCTGTCAGCGCCCCAGAACAAAGAACACTTTCTCAAAAGACTTCAAAAAGGGTGAAGCAAAGTTACCTCATCTGTGCCTCAGGCCTCCTCCCATCCATCCCCTCGAGGAGCTCTGAGGTATCCTCAGTCCGTTCTTTCCAACAGAACGGAGGGGACTGGGAAGGCCTGGGCTGTTCTGAGATAACTCTGCTCACTTGCCTTTGGCAGCTCACTAACCCTGAGCACCAACGGAGGTGTGGTCAGGAGACATGCTTTCCTTCCTCAGGACGTGGCCTGGGTGCTGCATTCCTCCTAACCAGCCTTGTGTCTAGGGCAGGAAGCTGTGTACTGAGAAGCAACAGGGCACAGTAGCTCCTGGAGTTGCCATCTCATTCACCAGGGCTTTGAAGGGGTGGGAGGTACAGCTAGAGCCTGACCTTTCATAGCCAAGCATAGCCTCATGACCCCAGGCTCAGAACCTGAGGGGCTCACACCAGCTTGTGAGGCTACAAGTGTAGACACAAAGGATTCCTCCCAAACTTCTCCATGACCCCAACTCATGGTGCTTCTAGCCTTCCCACCCCTGCCACAGGCCCAACCTACCCAAGTTTCCGTTGTTCCCCATCTCCGTGGACTGTAGGGCCTTAGAGAACTTGTTCCAGGAACCGGAAGCAGACTCATCCCGGATCTTCTCTCTTATAAGGGAGCCGTTTTTAAAGCTGCAGAAACACACACAATATGGGTCCTGGGATCCCAGGTTCCGTTGTGGTGTTTGGAACCCATGTGCTCTATATGCTAGGCACCGAGTCTACCACTAAATTTTACACACAGACTGGACCCGGGGGTTTTAGAAGTGTCCTGAGCAGCGGGTCTCCAGGTCAGACTAGATCACAACCCCTGAGCCAGCAAGTCTGTGAGGCTCTCCGGGGGCTCCATGGACATCTTGGAAGGCGCTGGGCTCACACTTATCCTGGGCTCTGTTTATGCTGGAAGCAGCCACAGTGGAGCCCAGGTGGGGCTTCCTATACTTTGTATCAGCTTTCCAATGGGCCAGCTACTAGCACAACTAGGCCTGAATATTCTCCAGTGGTTCTTGGTGCTTACAGCTCAGAAGCCTTCTAAGCCAGGTAGCTTCCAACAGGTGCCAGAGGCCTGCGGTGGGGACTTGGAACATATACCTCCTATGAAACTCTCAGGAAGCAAGCTGTCCCGCACACCAAATTAGATATGTCATGAGGTAAACGCCTTACTTACAAAACTAGTGTCACACAGAACACTGGCGTTAGAGGGAGAGTTTACACCCAGGTGTGGGGGGACTATAGGTCTTGGGTTCTTCCCCAGATAGTTCTGCTGTCAGGCAGGGACTAGTGTCCCCATGGTCTTGGCCGCTCAGGAGGCAATTTAGCAGGAAGGCTTTGGGGTGTTTGGTTGCTCCAGACTTGTCTACATCTCCCTCCCGCAGCCCAGAGATTCCGGGGTTACCACAGAAGAGCCATGTAGTACTGCACGTCTACTGGGTTGCAGAAGATGTGGCCTTCCAGGGCAGGCATGGGCTCTTGGAGCCAGAGAAATAGGGTGTCACTGGTGCCCAGGCTGACCTGAGGAGAACAGAGTAGAGGATGAGGTGTCAGGGCTCCCCTACAAAACTTCCCTTTTAAAGATCTGCTACCCATATCCCAGATCCCATGGGCACTGTTACTGACTTTCTAGAATTTAATACAAAATCACCAAAACAACGGTTTCCCAAATGGCTTCCCTGCTAGATGTAGAGAGCCATAGATTAAATCTTCCCATGTACCTGGGAGTTAACAGCACCCTGGCCCATGTCCAACACTCCTGCACTATGCCCAGCAGACGTCATGGCTGACATCAGCAGAGGCAATGAGCGTCTAAGAAAGACAGAGGATCACCGTCCTAGAGGCAGCAGACCCTCTGCTATTTAGCAAATAAACAGCTGAGACCCAGTGCCTTGGTCCCCAGGACAGAAAGTCTGTAGGTGTGAGGAGTCGTCTTACCGCAAAGTCGCCTTCCTCCAGCCTCATGCCTGCCAGCGACGCTGAGAACAGGAGGAGATCTCCAGTTAGTGGGAGTCACATGATACCACCTTCTGCCTTAACCCACAGGTCAGCAAGCTGAGAGTTCGAGGAGCCCAAAAGATGGCAAGGGCCGAAGGGCAGGCTGTTCTAGCCAAGGCCCCTGATTTGGGCTGAAAAGTCCAACCCTCAGGGATTCAAACTCCCCACCACCGCCAGGTTCTCCAAGAAGTGAGAATCAAGGAGACTAGGCATACGTGGCGGGGAAGATGGAAGGGCTGAGGTCATGGGGACTGCCCCACACCCCCAGAGGCAGGGTCCCCAGCAGCAATCCTTCTCTGCCCTCTTTGCTGAGGTACCCCACCTCTGAAGAAGACACGCACATAGATGGCGCTCACTAAATGTTGAGTGAATGAACTGAGTGAAGGAGAAATGGGATGGAACAGACAACCTTGAACTCAGCTGGAGGCTGTGCTCCCAGGCTGTGAGAATGCAGGAGACAACAACACAAAGCTCTCCCACAGGAGGCCAAGTGAGGGCAGGCCAGCTGCAGCCTGGACACCAGTACAGCAAGTTGACTAAAAGGATGAAGGCGCACACATGAGCATAGGAAAACATCAACAAGGAGAACCCTCCAATTTTAACCACCCTTTGAAGGGCTTTCCCCTGTGGAGCTGAAGGGCAGCACACAGCATCCTCCTCAGTGTGGCCTGTCTGGTCTTTCTTCGGAGACCAGAAGCCTAGAGAGTCCCTGAAGGAGAAGAGGTAAGGTGGGTGTTGCTACAAGAAGCAAACCGTGTTTATACATCTAACGAAGTCCTGAAGAAGGGCTGGAGGAGCCGAGATGGTAGCTGAATAGGAAGGAGCTAGGGATAGAGAGATAACCGCCGTTTTTACATCCATCAGGCTTCACTCACCAACACAGCACAGGCCTGAGAGCCGCCTTTGAGGGCCAGGGCCAGGCTGGGGTGGAAACAGTCAGATTTCAGAAGGAAGAGAGCAGCATGCACAGAAGGCTTTGTGGGGTAGCTAGACTGTGGGCTGAGCACGGTGACGCTTATAGCACCAATGTCGGGGACCCAGGGTTGGGGAGGTGGAGACCTAATAGATCTCTTGAGGTTTACAACCAGCCAGCCTAGTCTCCCTGGGAGTTCTAGGTTAGTGAGAAACCCTACTTAAAAAAAGAAAGGTAAGCAGCATAAGAGGAATGGCAGACAGCTGAGGTTGTCCTCTGATCTACACATGCACACACACACACACACACACACACACACACACACACACACACACACACACACACACACACAAACACACACACGCACACGCACACGCACACGCATGTGTACACACAGGGAGATATGAACAAGAAGATGGGGTGGAATTCTTTAAAAGTCCAGTAAGAACCAGGTGTGCTGGCTCACATCTGGATTCCCCATACCCAGGGAGAGAGGACTGATGAGCTTCCGAGGTTAGCCTGGGCTACATAGTAAGACCTGGGCCTTCAGAGGGAGACCCCATCTCAGTTATGTATCTATGGAAAAGGAAGGTGGGAAGTCCAGCAACCCAGAGCCACTCAGAGAGCAGCTCCTCCTCCTGGGGCACTTACCTGGGTTGTCCCCAGTGAAGGCCACCACTTGGCATGTGGGAAGGAATCCATAGCGCTGGACATAGTAGGAAGAAATGGCTCCCTAGGGAGAAAGAACACCCGTGTTCTGCTGCCGTGACCACAGCCTGGCCAGCACAGCCATGCACACTACAAACCAGGAGAGTCCTGGCTCCAGGTAAATGGAACTGAAGAATCTTCCACACCTCAGGCCGTGAGGCTGCTGCAGGCATCTGTGGTCAGTCCTGGAGCTCCATCCTTCCTAGCCACACACAGAAGGAGCCCGGGATAGATCTGGAACCACAGGCCTGAGGTCACCTCGAGGATCATATGACTCTGAGATTTGTGGGTAGTTAGAACATAGCAATCTTTTAACTTCTAACTACTTCCTGAAGCCAAATTCTGGATACAATGTTGAAGAAAAGAAAATAGCAGGACATTGGTAAGCACCTCACAGATGACACAGCAAACACCTTACTTGTTTATCATGCCAGCAACCAGACCAAGAATAATCAGATAGATTAGTGCATACAACAGTGTTCTAATGAAAACTATCCTCAGGCTCAGCCTGGACTATAAAGCAAGTTCAAGGCAAGCCTGAACTAGACAGCAAGCTCAAGGTCAACCTGGACCACCTGAGACTGTCTCAAGAGAAAGGGAATAGATTAGGGGTGTGGCTCATTTGTCAGAATGCTCAACTAGCATGCACAAAACACTGGATTTGACCCCCAGCACCATGTAAAAGCAGGCATGCCGAGGGGGCTGGGGAGACGGCTCACCGGTTAAAAGCACTTAGTGCCACAGCAGAGGACCTGGCTTCGGTTCCCAGCACAGCCAACATGGCACCTCACAACCACCTGTAACTCTGTGGGCACTGCGTGCACATGTGTTCACACATACATGCAGGCCACCTCTCTCTCTCTCTCTCTCTCTCCCTCCCCCCCCTCCACTCCCCCTCTCCCCCCCCTCCCCCCAACACCACCCCCACCCCTACCCCTCTACCCCTACCCCTCACACTACCCCTAACCCTAACCCTAACCCTAACCCTACCCCTAACCCTAACCCTAACCCCCTAACCCTAACCCTA